GTTGTCTTTCTGCTTGTGTGTGTATTCCTAGCACTTAGCACAGTCTCTAGCAAAGTAGTAAGGCACCATGTTGTACAGGTAGCCTTTCTACAACCTCCTACTTACTAATGTCCTTCCTCCTAGTGCCATGTACATATTGAACCATTGCTTCTCCTGATAGAACATAAGCTCCTTGAGGCCAGGAACTGTTTAATTTTTGTCTTTGTATCTCCAGTGCCTCACAGAGTACCTGGCACATAGTAGGGGTTTAATAACTCCTTGCTGATTGATTGATTGAGATCACTAAAAGAAAGTAAAGAGAGAAGAGAAAAAGAAACTCAAAACAGTCTTGGGGAATATCCACATTTATTAGATGGATGATTTTAATCCAGCAAAGTTGATAAGGAGCAACCAGGCAGGTAGAAGGAGAAGTAAGAGAAAACAGTGTCTCGGGGCAGCTAGGTGGCACACTGGATAGAGCACCGGCCCTGAAATCAGGAGGACCTGAGTTCAAATGTGTCCTCAGACCAAACACTTGACACTTACTAGTTATGTGACCCTGGGCAAGTCACTCGATCCTAATTGCCTAAAAAGAGATGGGGGCTGATTGTCAACAGCCACTGAGGGATGTGATGAAAGAAAAAAAAAGTCATTGGGTTAAATAGATCCTTGGTAACCTTGAAAAGAACAGTTTTTCAGTAGAGTGATGGAGTAAAAGCCAGATTCTGAGGGGTTGAAAAGTGAGTGGGTGATGAGGAAGCAGAGCCAACAAGTTTAAACAACTCTGACTAGGAGTTTGGCATGGAAAAGCCAAAGATACAAGACAATAGCTTGAGGGGATAGGGATTAATCTAGTGAAGGTGATGTAGGAGAGACCTGAGGACATTAGACTGAAAGTTGGGAGACTGGAGATAAGAGCTAAGGAATAAATAACCCAAGGTGGCAAATGCTAGAGGAGCTGGGAGGGGATGGAATGGAGGACAAGATAACCCTCAAATGGGTGTGCCCCAACTATAGGGCCTCCCGCTTTAGAACTTAGTGCTGGCAGCTACAGTCATGTTGAGGGTCAGGGTGGGGTAGTGGATAGAGTGTTAAACTTGGTGTTAGAATGCTGCCACAACTGACATTGCCTTACCGGTAAAATTGGGATAAATGACACTTATAGTACCTACTTCATGATGTTGCCATAAGGACCAAATAAGATGAGATATATATAGATATAGATATATAGATAGATAGATATACACACACACATATACACACACATACACACATATATGTATGTGTGTGTATATATATATGTGTGTGTATATATATACATATATACATATATATACATATATATACATATATATACATATATATGTATATATAAAGAGTTTTGAAAACTGTTTTTTTGAACTATTATAGAGGCTTCTGTTACTATTATGTGGCTGGTCCACTGATTACTCAGTTGCTGAATGATCGTTAGCTTGGCCACGTCTGATCTCAGCACCAGCACTGACAATGTAGATGACTGTTAGAACCCGATATTTTCTTCCAGTTAAACTGTACCCTCTGTGTTTGGTCATCGTGCAATTATATCAGAATTTTACTTCATGTATGAACTACTTTTGTCAGCAGTTGATTAAATACTCTCCATTCATTCATTCATTCGTTCATTCCAGAATTTGTGATCTAATACTTCCAGCTTCAACAGCTCTTCAAAATGGCTTTTTTTAGATAAGGTGGTGGTGGTGGTGGTTGATGATGATATTACTATTGCCGTTGATGTTCAGTCATTTTAGTCACATCTAACTCTTTTTGACCTCATTTGGGGTTTTCTTGGCAAACATACTGAAATAGTTTGCCATTTCCTTCTGCAGTTCATTTTACAGATGAGGAAACTAAGAAAAACAGGGTTAAATGGCTTGTCCAGGGTCACACAGCTAGTGAGTATCTCAGGCTGAATTTGACCTGAGGAAGAAGAGTCTTCCTGACTTCAAGCCTGACATTCTATCCATTGGGCCCCCTAGCTACCCACTAAGTGTCATCAGCAAGTTTGGTTTTCTGTGTAATTCACTGGTCTTATTAAGGGACAGCATGTATATATGATACATGATGTTTAGAAGTTTCCCAGGGGCAGCTAGGTGATGCGGTGGATAGAGTGCAGGCACTGGAGTCAGGAGGACCTGAGTTCAAATCCAGCCTCAGACACTTAACACTTACTAGTATTAGTTAAACTAACCAAAAAGAAAAAAGAAAGTTTCCCAGTTCAGTAGGATGCCATTCAGTCAAAGGAGTGTGGAGAAGGAATAATCCCTTCATTCCCATATTTGTGTAGTATAATGCCTGGGGGGCACGTCAGCTGTCAGACATTTTGTTATTAATGTTTGAAGATCTTGATGCTAGAAGTCAAAGTGAGAAGAACAAAACAAGCCTGGGGTTGGATGGGGACAGTGTTTCCACTCTGAATGACAAGCAGGCAGCCAGCACACCTGGGCCAGCTTTTGTCCCGTTCTCCTGGGAGCCCTCTTGGACTCTGGAAAGCAGATCTGTTTCCTGACAAAGCTTTTGCATATTTTACTGTCCTTGCAAGTTAACTGAAGTAGGAGGTCAGATTACTTCTTCAGAATCATACAATGACTTACAGGAGTTGACCCTGATTAAGAAAGTTTCTCAAGTCCTGTCCTAATTCATGGATTGCATCTTAATATCACTGTTGTATCGAGGATTTTAGGGGAAAAAACAACTACCCAAACACAGTACCCAAAAGGTACTTTTTAATCTAATACCTGAAAAGCGGGGGGCTCGTCTTTTCCTGGATTTGGTTGCTTTTTTCAGACTTGGAGTTACCTTAAGATCAGGTTCGTCTTTTGTTGTTCTGAAATGTTCTTGAGCTGCCCAAACATTATATATCTCAGGAGCCGAGCACCAAAATCTGACTTACAAGAGTTGTTGTAAGGAAAGCGATTTGTAAACTATGAAGTGATATATAAAGGTGACCTATTCTTGTTGTTATCTCCTCAGGGAATTCCCACGTGGTGACTGAAGTGCTATAGCTAGCTCTATTTAGGGGGTGTGTGTGTGTGTGTGTGTGTGTGTGTGTGTGTGTGTGTGTGTGTGTATTGCAACTCTTCATTTTCCTTCTGGCTTTCCATTTTTCAATGTAATAATTCTATACCCTTGGACATTTTGACTAGAAAATATATCATGTGCCTGTAACTTTCAAAACATTGATAAGTACCTCTGCAGCTCCTTAATGAGTTAATATGTATGTATGAATTTTTAAGAAGGGGTACAGGGTGGTGAGAGAGTGAAGAGCTGGCCAACAACCTTGCCTAAATTTAATTTCCTGGTCTTGTACACATCCTCATCATTTCCTAGATCTAGATTATCCTTTTTTTTTCCCTTTTCTTTTTTTTTTGTTTTTTTTGGCTATGTAGTTGGGGTTAAATGATTTGGCTAGGGTCACACAGCTAGTTAGTGTCAAGTATCTAAGGCTGATTTGAACTCAGGTCCTCTTGACTCCAGGGCCAGTGCTCTATCCACTGGGCCACCTAGCTGCCCCTGGTATAGATTATTCTTGATGCCACTATGTGTGCATAGCACATATTCCCCACCAGTGGGAGAAAGGATGTGGCCTGGCCCAAGTAGCTAATGAAACCACTGAATGGAACAGGGCATCTGCCCTGACCAACATGGGAGGCAGGGTGCCCATTGCAGCAGCTCTCAGAGCCATCTTTTCCCCTGCTGTTTGTATTAAAGGGCAATAGTGGCTTGGAATCATCTCTAGCTCTGCTCCCATTCATTCTTTCATTAATTTATTCAGTAAACATTTATTAAATGCCTACTATATTGAAAGCACTGTGCTAGGGGCTTTGGAGGAACTGAAAGGTAAGACCTGGTCTCCATCCTCATTTAACCAACAGTCTAGTTTAGAGGATAAATCGCTAACACAGATTAATTATAACACACAAGATTACAGATTTGCATCAAAGAGGTATAAAACAAAGTGTAAGGGCACTGAGGGAGGGGGGGAGTCATTATTAACTTGGGACCATCACAGAAACTTTGTGATATTAATAAAGAGGATTTTATTTTTAATGACAGCAATGTGCTATTATAATAATAATAACAGTAGCTAACATGTACATAGTACTTATTAAGTGCCAGGCACTGTGCAAATATTATTACCTCATTTGCTTCTTAGAACAACCTGGGAAGTAGGTGCTATTATTATCCCCATTTTATAGATAAGGAAACTGAGGCAAACAGAGGTTAAGTGACTTGCCCAGGGTGACATAACTAATAAGCGTCAGAGGCCAAATTTGAACTCAGGTCTTCCTGACCCCAGGCCCAACAGTCTAGCCACAGTACCACAGTGCAATGGCTCTATTCACAGCTGCCCCTCTATAGTGGGAGTTAAAAAGACCTGAGTTTATATCCTAGGTATGTTGCTCTGCCCCACGGACTAAGGCAAATCACTTAAACTCTTTGGGTAACAGTTTCATCATTTGAAAAAGTTAGGATAACAAATCTGACCTATCAATCTTCCTAGGTTTGCTTTAAAGGTGTTTTGTAAATTGTAAAGGGGCCACGTGAAATGAATGAATGTAAGCTATTATTATTTAGGATGGTAGGTATTTTAAGTCTACTTAATTTTTCATACTTCTGAAAATTTATTTTTATACGGTTTTCTATACTTTAAAGTCTATTTGGGGCCTAAGCATGTTTTTTTGTTTTTTGTGGTCACTCCCTACACAAATGGTTTAAGCTAATTTTGGACACAAATGTGCTTGTGATCAGGGCAGGTTACATCACTTGAACCATGTAGTATGTTTCATTTTTCCAGAACTTTTTAAAAGATGGTTGTGTGCCACTGGTATAGATGTTGATGTTACCCTCCTGCCCTAGGAGGTGGGAAATAAACAATGAGATGTCAATAGTCCTCCACTCATAAATTGCTGGTTGAATTACTATTTAACTTTCATCAGGTACCAAAGATATATCTCTTGTTGTGTGTTGTTTTTTTCCCCCAGGAGAAAAACCATACAAATGTACCTGGGAAGGCTGTACCTGGAAGTTTGCTCGTTCGGATGAACTGACCAGGCATTACCGCAAACACACGGGAGTGAAGCCATTCAAGTGCGCAGACTGTGATCGAAGTTTTTCCCGGTCAGATCACTTGGCACTGCACCGTCGGAGGCATATGCTGGTTTGAGGCATGAGACCTGTCCAGCGGAGCGGAGCAGAAGAGCTGGGTCTCTTAGCTACACCCCATTCAGCAGGGCTGAATCCCCATCGCAGTGTTAACACAAAAAAGGGCATCATCATCCCACGATGTCTGAAACCAGAGCAGGAAAACAAAATGGTACTTTTCTCCTCTCTATCTGAAGGTAACCCCACCGTGGCTACACAAGCAGCATTCTTATGCTGGCCCAGGAGATGAGTGACTCGGATGCTTGAAGAGACAGGCATTGTTTTTCCATGCTGTGTCCTCTACTGTTTAAAGATGTTTGTAGCTTAAACATTTTCTCAGCTGTAAGACATTTTCTTATTGATATTTTAAAAATCAGTTACCACAAATTGATGGCAAAGAGCAAGAAGACCTTTTTAACTTGGATTATTATCCCCAATCCTCCCCACCCCCTTTTTTTGGATTACCATCTAAGTAATGTAGAAAACATGCCCAATTTATGTTACCAGCAAGCTGCATGAAAATAGATGCGAAGAATCTATTGGAGAGGTTCCATTACCTGAAAATCAAGGGGCACTCCAGCAGACTTTTGCAGTAGTGATGGCGGCACTTAGAGATCTCACACGACTTGTCGTTATGCCATGCCCTAAAGGAAACCGACATTTAATCTCTCATGTGTTTGTTGTTCGTTCTTTGTTTCATTTTGATTCTGTTTTGTCCGTCTGCTAAAACAAAAAAGGGGACAAACCGTGTTTCATTTGAGGTCCAGTCCAAGTGTCTGCTCTGACATGGACTAGTATAGAAATGGTTTGGGGTTGTATAGGAAGAGCCTTTTCTTTAAAAAACAAAAAACAAAACAAAAAAAAATTACTGCCCCATTTCATAGTGAAGTTTTCTGTCACCTAGGCATCATCTCTTCCACCCCCTAGTATTTGATTACAAGGAATCAGGAAAAGAAACTTTCTTAGACACACTGGCACCAAGGTAAGAGGTGTGGCTGTCCAAGTAAAGTCAGTGAACATGAAAAATCAGACAAAGCGGAGAAGGAAATAATGCGCCTCTTGAGGAGAAAAGCAATAATGAATAAAAGGTCTTTCCTACAATAACTTCACTGAGGAGTCACATTACCAATATTCATACTTACTGAAGGAATTGTTTAAACACACACACACAGCTTTTCTGATGTCTTGGTTACTTTTACAATGTCGAGGTAATCTTTCTGCCATTTGCTGTCCTGCTCCATGGGGTAACATAATTAAAGACTGTGCTCCCCTTTTCACGTTTTAGAATTCATTTGGTGGCTAAAAGTTGAGGCAGGTGGTACAGAGGGGAAGGAACCCCTACCTTACCAGGTCAGCTCTCCTTGGAATAAAATGAGTAGAAAGAGGATGCTCCCAGAGGAAAGACTGAAATGGTGCTAGTTTCTACTCTTGGAAAGCAGAGAAGAAGAGAGTAGCCCATGGGCTCTTCTCTGCAGGTTTTTGTTTTTAAAGCTATATTTAGGCTCAGTGGTGCCTCACTGGCTTTTGCAGGTATGTTCAATCCAGACTTCCTGCATCAAGGATAAGAAAAAATTATTACTTCTCCTCCAGCTCTCCCCACCCCCCAAAAAAACTATGAGCTTATCTGTAATGAATCAAGTGTATGATAAATAAAGCAATATGTTACCAACAAACATCCTTTTAAAAAGAATAATTTCCTCTCTTTCACTCAGAGTCGGGGTTTTCCTCCCCCATCTCAATATGGTAAAAGGAGTTTGGTGAGTTATTTTTATTTGTTCAAGTTTTTATAGCTTAGCTATAAAGGGTCTCCAGAAAGACCTTTGCAATATATTTTAATTATGAAAACGTGGATTCGGGAAAGGCACAAATTAACCTCACAATGCTACTAGCTCATTTTTAAGTGTTTGAACAGTCTGAAATAACTTTGGTTACTGAAGTAGCCTTGTTTGGGATTATCTTTAAATCTCCGTAATCTTGTTCTGAGAAGTGACTGTTGAAGCAGGAACTAGGGACATTGAATGAAACAAGTGAGATTTGTCTCTGATAGTATTAAAAGTATTTGAAATAACATTGAAATAATAGTGTAACAGTTTTCAGGTTAAAAGCTTAGTATAAATCTATGCTCTACATTGTCTGCCAATTTGTTTCGGTAGAAAAATTGAGCAACTCCAAACCACCTCAGACTAGGGCTGCAGCCTTGCACTGGGTGTTACCTCCTAGAAAGTTTTTCTATCCGTTACTGTGTGTGACTCCCCACCCCCCCAGCTGCCCAGCTTCTCCAAGTCTGTGTCTATTCTTAATAGGAAATAATTGACAATTTGGATGAGTAACTACTAACCGAGAGAACAGAGTGTAATGAAACATACATTCACATCTCCCTTGCTGCCACTGTCCCTAACCCCCACCTCCCAAAGTATCGATTGACTTCATGATGGCTTCTTCTCAGAAAGGCTCATTACTTATCTTTCTCAAGCAGCATTCTTCTGTGGTTATAGGTAGTCTTGGGTTTAAGATATATAAAAGCAATAAGCCAGTATTTAGGAGTCCCTTGACATAGATAGCTAGATTTAAATTCAGCACAGATCTAGATGACTTTTTCTTCTCTTATAAAATTGGAAAAGGGGAGTGAGGGGAGAGACTATTTCTTCATCTCCAGCAAGTGAAAGCCAGACCTGAACAGTAAGCTAAAAGATAAGGACTGTCGCTGTTACCCTTCTCCCCTTTAATATGTCATATATCCAGTAGTTTAAAAAAAAATGAAATCAAGCACAATAAGGAAATGAGTCACTTTAATAATAAAAAATATTTAGATCAAAACTTAAAAACTGGAATTTATTTTGGTGCTATGCAAGGTGCATAGCAACTTATTTAACCTTAGTGAGCTTTCTGAATTCATCATGGGTGTTCTGTTACCACAAAAATCAACAGCAGAGTGATTTGGAATGGAGGAACTTTTTTTTTTCCCCTCAAATACAGGTAGCTTTGCAGAAATGGAAAGGCTTCCATTTTCTCTCAGCACCTATTTACTACTTCAGTTATAAGCACAGTACATAGTGAATAACAGAGAAAAACGTGGAGCCCTAGGAAATTTCATGGTCTTCCGAACCCTGAAGCATTTTTTCATTTAAAAGTTGAAGCTGTGTGTGCACATACATGGATGCAGGTCACCTTTCCCACTCTTGCTTTAATTGCTTTTAAATCTAAGATCGATGCAGAATGTCTGAGCTCCATCCCTTTGTATGCCTGTAGATCTCCAGAACTTCTGTGGGAATTAGAGTAGTGTCAAGGTTAAGGAGTTCAATCTTTTACATTTTAATAGACTCTCCTTTCATATACTGTTCTTATTCGAGAAAAGATTTACTTTTTTTTTTGTCTTGTTTTGCTTTCAGCCCCCATCTGTCATACGTAAACCTTGGATCCTCCTCATAACTTGCTACAGGTTCTCTGAAGCCTGTTAAGACATAAATCTCCAAAGGAGTACACCCTAAAGCTTAGGCAGCCACGTCTGGCATCAGTTTTAGGAAACACTATAGAATAGTTGTTTTCAAAAGCAGTTGAATAACAATAAGGTAAACCACACCATTCTTTTTTTTTAAACAAGGGCGCTTTTTTTATTCACTTTAAAGTTTAAGAGGTAGATAGGAAGATGATTTTTTGCAAAAGAACCAAGGAAATGCCACAGTGTTTACAAGTGCCAGCTTCTAGATGATTAGAAAGATCATTTCTCGTGGTTGAAAAAGTCTAAGAGTCGATAGCTTTTGGGGAGAAAAACACACTCACACAATAACTTAGTGTTCTGTATTTGAATAGAAGAATAAAAAAAAACACTTTGAATTGCCATTTCTTTTATAAATCAAAGCTTTTCTGCACTTTGAAATCAACTCATTACAGTGACAATTTTGACAGGGATAAAGATGCAGTACTCCTTATTCTGTACTTTATTATGCTTACCAAAGGTGCAATTGAATAAATCTGGTAAGTAGAGGCCTTCGATTGTATTGTGTACTCCTATTAATCATGGTTTCAGCTGCTTAGAGATGTGGCTGCAATAATGGTGTTTACAATAGCTTACCATTTAAAGTAAGAAAGTGGCAGAGTTGACCAGTGTTAAGAATACCAGCATTCACATTGTAGGGAGGGTTAAATTCTGATGGCAAAGGACTAAAAATGAGGTGATTTATGAATATGAATGGATATCAAAATCATAAAACCCTTTTTTCATAGCCTATTCTCAGAATTTACCCCCATAATAATTCTTGTAGATTTAGCATGTAAAGTGTACTTTCTTACTAAATCTTTAGTGGGAAGAAAAAAAAAATCTCCCTTAGTTTCATGGGGGTTAGCACATACAATTTGAAAATATCCCTTTCCAACATGATTTGTTTATTCTTGTTTATGAAGAGGCCAGTGAGCTACATCTCCTCATTCTGTTATCAGTACCAACATGCCTGCCTCTCTATAGAAATACCCCTAATAAATGCACATGAACATACTTTTCTATACATGTAGCCAGCGGCATATCCATATGTTCATGGATACATATTCTTACATGATAGCCAACTAAGAAAAAAAAGATTTTTAAAGGAAGATTTTGTAATACTCCATGCTGTCTGGAAAAATAAATTATTTACCTTACTAGGAAATCATGCTGTATATGACTGCCTGCATTTTATAGCTTGAAAATGTACATAACAAATTAAAATTGCTATATTTTCACAGTTTCATTATAGAATAATGTGTATGTTTAGCAGCTCATGCCCATTGGTACTTTAAATATGTTAAATATTGAACAGTTTCGATAGAAATTCAATTTTTAGTAAGAAAATCAAATATAAGGATACTGCATCTTTTAAAAATAGAATGAAAGTATTTTACTGTACTTGTAACAGTCAATATTCTGTAATATATGTGATAGTGGAAAAGTATTTTCAAATTCACAATTTTACACAGGTTGTAAATAGTTTAGTGAAGTATGTTGGAGGGGAAGCTTCTAGTTTTCATCACACACACACACACACACACACACCCATTCAGATATGCCTTGTAAATCTTCCACACAATTAGCCATAATACTGTAGGGTCTCAATTGTTCTACTTTGTCAAAACATGTTGAGCATGTACAGCCGAGAGTGACCACTCATTTTGGTTTGTCTAGGACAGCTTTGTATACAATGAAGTCATTTGAAGTCTCTGGAAACTGATTCCAAACTGAAAATGCCTATGTCTGAATAGGGGAAAAACAGCTGCATGGGAGTATTCTAGTGTTTAAAATGTGCCCGAGAGAGAAGTAGACAATTGCTTTATTTTCTCAGTCATCTCACTCCCTCTGCCAAAATGTTTCTTGGACAAAAGATTCCACAGTTCCAACAGGTGGTCACTCTTGGGTAATTCCAAAGGGAGTTTTTGTTCTGTTAGGTGTAGCTGCATGTTAACAGAAGCTATGTGATGGTAGTAGCAGTGAGAATCCCCATTTGCTGGTGACAGAGATAAGCTAATACCCATTTTTCAGAAATGAATTAAAACCTGAAAGTGCCTGTCCACATACATACCTTATAACTGATGGAATGTCCTATGCTTTTCACACAGCAATAATATTGTTGCTTCATTAGACTAGCATTTATTCCCCCAAATAATTGAAAAAGATAAATTTCAGTAAATCTATTCACTTCTTTGACTACCCCCCCAAACCATTATTTTATCCTTACCATCTTACTATCTCTTATGTGTAATTTACCATAAGTAAAATGTTGTTATTCATGCAAAGGGAGAATGCAGATTTAATCAAGAAAGCCCACAATACGCTGTGGCAATTCCAAATTACTGCTTCTTGTGGTTTTTTGACCCTGAGCTCATAAAAGATTTCCGATGAATCATACCCAGTATTCTCTGAGAGGAAGACCCATGATAGCTAATAAAAATTACTAGACACTTCAGCTGGGAGGACACATTATTAAATGTAAAGTTTTTTGTTTCTTGTTTCTTTTCCAGTTTCACTTGTTGTTTTCCCATTTCAGTAGTATCTTTGGGTGAAAAAAATCTATATCATGTCTACAGGAAGACTAGTGGAGTACTTAGAACATTTAAGGATATCAGCCAAGGTTTGCAGAGCAGTCTGAATGTTACCATATTTGCTTGCATAATTTCCCCCATTTCTCCATTCCCAGATATATCACTGCTAAACCGTGGAGTCATGGTTAGAATTAGAGAATGATGTGGTTTGGACAATGTGAGCCCTGTTAACACCTCTGCTCCACATTGTAATTGCTAGCCAAGTGTTGTTCTTGTCAGTTAAAATTATGTTCTACAGAGCTGAAGAAGCTCAGAGCCTTGATAAGAGAAGTTGATGAAGTGTGAACAAGGGTTAAGCACTCTTCCATTTACTTTCTGCAAGTCAAGATTTGAGTAAACCCAGGTCACATATTTAGCTCTTTTGGGAGGTACAGAACTGGATCAGTGGATACCAGAAGAAAGTCCTGATGAGGAAAAGATCTTGCATTTCCTTTACAAAATTCTTAATCTTTTTAAAGAAAGATTTTCTGGATGTGAAAAATGCAGTCAACATACTGCCAATCATGCACATATCTCTAGATCTGTGGCATCTACCCTAAAATCCAGGCATCTTACTAAAGTTTACCTCTTTCGCCAGAATGTTTGGTATTGTTTTGATAAGCTTGTATCTCCATAGACACAAAATTGGTGACATGAGTTCATTCATTCAGGCCAAAATAAGGTATTTACTTGACTTTCTGTTGGCATTTGGTCCTCCACAATCTAGCAACTTGCTTGAATTCTCTTCTTCACTTTTCATTCAAATAGCTTATTATATCAATTCAGATCAGTCTTTTTTTTTCCAAGATAAAGTTTATTCTTCTAAATTTTCACCTTACTGTAGCTAATATCATAACCTCTCAAAAATTACTTGTCCAATGGTGAATGGAGAGGTAGAAGCCGCTATGCTCGTATAATGAACACAGATTCCAAAGTGATCATTCTTTTTCAGTGTTCCCATTTCCTTTTTTTTTAGATTTTATTAATTTATTTTGATTTATCAACATTCACTTCCATATGCTTTTGAGTTTAAAATTTTTCTCCCCCTTCCAGCATTGCCATTTTCCAGCAAAGTCACGTAAGATATTAAATAGTTTTGAATACAAATTGTTGTTTTGCTAACAGTCATGATTCAGTTGAATTTTGTATATGGAATTAAGACAAACGAATTCTATTTTTTCTTCCCCCAATCACCTAGCTTATGAAATTCTGACAGTGTTGATCTGTAGATGTACTAATAGACTTTAAAAACATTCAGAACAGTCATTTCTCTTACTGTTTTGGCAATCGTTTCCTAAATTATGATCCTTCTCCCTGTTATATTTGGGGTGGGGAAGGGATGGGGGAGAGGAAGGAGAGAGAGAGAGAGAGAGAGAGAGAGAGAGAGAGAGAGAGCTGCATAAACAAACACCCATGTTGAAAGGCAACATTCTGAGTACAGACTCTAATGTAGGTGGTCATTGTTCACCATTAGTTGGGTTTCACAAGCAATAATTTTTTCAAAACATGAAAACCACAAACCTAAATGAGCTGAAAAATGATAAGTTGTAGAAAGAATCGCATCAGGACTTTCTCCTTCTGGTTTTCATCACCAAATGTTTAAATGTGTATGAAACAACAGACTTTGCACTAAGTGTGAGAATGTAGAACAAGTGATTTCCTATGTGAATTGATTAGTTGCTTTTACCAATGACCAGTCTAAGACTCTTCAAGAATTGTTTGTGGGGAGAGGCACATTTTGAATATAGGTGAAAAGAGTGCCCAGGAATTGTATGAAGAAGGATTTTATGGACGTGAGAATACAAAATCTTTCATTCCTTCTTATTCCATGCTCCAAAAGAGACAGCCTAAAACAGAAAGGAAAATTTTGCATCCTGATCTTGAATTACTTGGTTTCCATAGCAGAATTTGTATACTCTTCTATTTGTAATGACGTTCATATGACTTTATTAAATTGTAATGCGTTGCATAGGTATTGTTGAACTGGGGCACTGGTGCCTGTAAAGGCTCTTTCCTATGACTTGTTTGTTCACAGTTTGTCACGCTTAAAACTTAAAGAAAAACATCACCATCCAATGGGAAGGTGACTGGGAAGAAAATCCTTTGTATTTATTTTTTCCACATATTTGTGGAACATATTACATCACATTAAAAGCTGCTCACTGAAGGAAGTGAGAGAAATAGTTATAAAACCAGTTTGAAAAATATTGTGTTATCTATTATATCACATTGGATCATAATGCAGTTATATGTATTGTAATATGGTCCTTTGGGGGGGAAAAAAAGAAACCAACCAGCAAATTCATGTTTGTCTGAAGCCAGAAGCCGACTCCGAACTTTCTGTGTTGTGAAAAGATCAGACGAGACCACCTTTAAGATATCCACCTGCCACTTAAAGACAACTTAGTTATAATTAGTAGTAGTCTAGACACTGCTCTTTGTGTGTGTGGGGGGGGAGGATCAATTCAAAAGTCATTTTCTTTTGAACAATTCTCTTAGCTGTGTTTGAAGAAAGGAGAATAAAGAATAACATGATCGTTGGCCAAATCAAGCAGGCAAATCCCCCCCCCCAATCCCTCAATAATTAGCTCATTACTTTAGTACATATGGTAATTGGGTCATAAGATCTTTCTGTATAAATTTTTTTTTAAATCCACCTCATAGTTTGAAAATGTTCAATCTAGGATTGGAGCCTCTGAACGAGGAATTGAATAGATGCACAGCACCTGATTCACTTTGCTGGGATGTAGGGGAAAGGAGACTTTCTCAAAGCCCATAGAAAGATGACCCCATATTTCTAAAAATAAATCTCCCCTGTGAAACTAGAAAGCAAATGTATTAATTCTTCAAATCCTCTTTTGTTTTCTGTTCAGAGGGTTTTTCATTGCAAAGAAATTTATTTCTTCAAATCTCATCTAAAGATCTAATTTCCCAATAGTTTCCTCTGCATTTATATACTATGTAGTGTTTAGACAACACCTGTTATAAGTTTATTAATATTATGTAAGTGTTGTTCTTGTATTTATGTATAGTGTATGTATTGTAAATATACTCAGAGCTTTTTTTTTTCCTTTTACTGTAAAATGGTGATTTTGCCCTATGATGATGTAAAGGGAGACCCTCCTAATGAAATTCTGTCAGAGGATGATTATTCCAGTCTATTCTCAGAGATTTAAATGAACAAGTGTTATCGTTTTTAATGGTGTCTCAGACATATTCTGTTGGTGCATTGCTTTTCTGTATTCAACTTTCCTATGAATTGAGCTGTGAACTGAAATAGAATTTAACCCTTTAAATGTATGCATTTGTATAATTATCTGAATGAAGGCATGAAGGTTAAATAAAGCATTTTGTATGGAACGAAACTCCATAATTATTACCGTGGATGACTCAGACACTCTGAAAAGCATAGTTATTAACTATTCTAATTAAACCTTTGTTATAAAACCCTTGACCATTTGTGTATATAATAATTGAAAAAAGCAAAACAAAGCAGGATTTGCCCCAGAAAATGAACTGCTTTTTTATTTCAGGATGAAAAATGCACAGAGGATCTTAATGTCCTTTTACATTTTCCATGATAATTGGAACTAAAAAATTAGTCGTGAAATGCTAAATGATGAAAAAAGTGCATCTTTCTAGGGTTCTGTAAATGGATCCAAATGAAATATCCTCTCAGGTTTAATGTACTGTTCATACATAGGACTGGTAAATACAAAACCTGGTCTCTGAATATGCATAGGAATGAGGACTTGTAGGGACATGTTGAGTATGACCATTAAAAACTAATCAGTTGTCTAAATAGTGTAATAATTACTATAAAAAGTCCTTGCGAAAGTTTCAGAATTTTCAGCTCCATTCATCTAACTAAAATAAATTTTGCCTACTATGTAAGGAACTACGTTAAGCTCTGGGAGAGAAAGAAACAGAAAGAAATCACAATCCCTGCCCTCAAGGAACTTACATCTAGGTGGGGGAGATAGATAACAAATGCACAAATAATTTTCACATCATTCAGAGTACTTAAGAGTAGCATAAACAATAAGGAAATGAGAGATTACAGGAGACAATAAGTACTACTACTAATACTACTACTAATACTACATATGCATATCTAAATTTATGTATAGAATAATGAATGAAACAGCATTAAGTGCTTACTATGAGCAAAATACTATAATAAGCACCAGGGAAGCAACTAGCAAGGCAATTTCTGCTCTCCAGGAACTCACTTTCTAATGGGGTAGACAAATACCTATAGGAGATTTTACCTGCAAGTCAGATGGAAAGACCAGTGGTTCTTAGGGTACAGCAGCAAAGCAGATGGTAATACAACTTCCTTAATAAAAATACGCTCTATTTTTATTAATCATTTATTATCACATACATAATATGTGTTCTATATTTATTTATGATAAATTATATTTAGATGTGTCATTTATTGATATTTTATCAATATCCATTAATAAAATTATATTCTGTTTCTGAGGTTGAATATGTGACAGTGACAAGGATGTTGGGGGCAGGAACTTCCTTTTCTGGACCTTCGGCAGCTGTGGCTGCTGAGGAAGAAGGGGCTACAGCACCCCCAGAAGCATTGGTCATGTCCATCTCTACAACGGTATACTCTGGATGATGATGTCTTTGTGAAGTGGGCCAATTGCTTGGGCAGTGCTATTCTTCCCTGGACTTGTAGGCTCAGTGTCCTGGGCTATATTTCCATCTGAGTCTGAGGAAGGGTGATGGGGGTGGTTTGACTTACCCTGTACATATTTTCTCCTGTCTTTTCCTCACTATATGTTGTGAAGAATGGCTGGCCCCTTCTTCACAGGGATTATTCCCTTAGATGATGATTGCTGGGGCTGAGCTATAGTCAGAACTGGTGAATGGTTGGAGGTGCGTTACTACTCCCGAGAATCTTGTGCTTACTTGCCAGTGCTAGTTGATGACACAGTGATTGATGGTGGTGGTGGTGGTGACAGTGATTGATCTTGGTGATGGTGAGAATGGTAGGTCCATTCTCCATGGTGGTTGCTCCCTCACAACGAAGGCTATGGGGGCCAGATTGAAAACAAGATCATTGATCAATGGAGCGTTGCTCTTCTCAGGGCTCAATAGCTCAATATGCTGGGCTGTCCTCACTGCGGCATGAGAGGATGTGGTGCTTAAGGGGGTGGCAGTGGCAGTGGGCTGACTCAGCTGACATAGTCTTTTATGTGTCAGAAACCTTTTGTCTCTCTCAGAGTACATTACTGCTTCCTATGTAAGAATAATGAGATCATTTAGCACTCTAATTAATAGCTAGTAGAATGCTGGACTTGGAGTCAGAGTGACCTAAGTTCAGTCTTGCCTCAGACACTGTTGTATGAAACTGGGCAAGTCACTTAAACTCACTCAACCTCATTGGGGATAATAATACCTTGCAGGATTGTTGTGAAGACTGAAAGAGATGCCATATTTAAAGCTCTTTGCAAACCTTATCATTCTACATACATTTAGCTATTAGTATTGTTGTTGTGTATTTTCAATAAATCCAGAGCCACATATTATCTCCATTTCACACATAGCAAATCAGGCATGCACAGGTATAAATACACGTTAAGTGTAGACCAGAACTTGGCCTCCTCAACTGCCGATTTTTGCTGTCCAGTTCTAATCACTTCCCACTCAACCCAGAAGTTTGTAAAAATGGTTCAGATACGTTGAAAATGGGTTTCTGTGAACTGCGCTTTAGCAGTTCTTAAGAGAGAGAAGACTCTCTTCTTGCCAAAACAAAGTCAACATATCAGGCAGGACTGCCCACTGGACTACTTTTTGGGTTGTCAGAGATCCAAAGCCATATTTGAGTTCTGCAAGTGAACCTCAAAATGTCAGTCACCCACTGGGTAACAGTTCTCTTACAGTGACAACAAATATAATGAAACTGACATGTTCAACCAGGGATCATTGTTGCTATTACTAGTTTGAAGTCTGTGAGGTTTATATAATAAATGTCAACTATTATTATTGTAAAGTACTATAAAAATGCAGGGAAAAGTAGTAGTTCCTCCTTCTTTTGAACTTTTATTTCCAATTGTATTACCCTAAAAAAGCAATACAGTTAGAAAAATTCTCATCAAAGCAGAGGCCAAAAGATCATGTTTAACAGGAAACCAATAAATATTGTTTAAATTGAGTGGACTCCAGTTCTGATCACTTTCATTCTTGCTGTGGTATGGACTATACCACATTGGTAATGGGTGCTAAGCTGAAAAAATGATGTACTCAACCCACCAGAAGTTGTCTTAATGTCACCCTAAGAGTTCTTTCCATCAATGAGCCTTCCTTTAGTGCCAGGCACTGGGAATACAAAGTCCCTGCTTTCACCAGTTCACTTAGGAGGATCTTAGATAGACCATCTAGGTAAATAAATCTTAAGAGCAAGTAAAGTACGAGTAATCCCTCACATCTCTGTTACATTTTATAATTACAAAGAATTTTCCTTATCAGAAACCTGAGATCAGTATTCAGTAGGTGAGACAATGATAGCCCTGAGAGATTAAGTGGCCTTTTGAGGTCATGAGGCAGGTGGATCCTGCTAATTCAATATGTAATGGGTTCTTCATCACTGGGGATCTTCAAGTAGAGGCTTTCTAGGATCACTTAGAATATTTTAGAAGGAATTTCTGTTACTGCTGGTACAGATGACCACTGGAGGCATTTCTAGCTTTCAAGTTATGTATCTCAGTAACAGTTAAGTGAGGGATACAGGTTGGGTGGGGAACTCAATGCTTGAGATTTGGAATGATTATGCTTTCCACTAGACCATTCTGCCTGCCTTCAGAGGTCCCAGCTCAGGCCATGTTCAATATATTTAACCAGTACTCCCAAAATTGAAGAGGTGGTTATCCAGCATATGCACATGCCAAATCCATTTTTGGACCAAAGAAAGATATTTAAGTAGAAAGACAACACTTACAGCTAGGGAGATCAAAGATCATGGTATAGCTGACATCTGAGCCAACTCAGAAAATTCAAATAGACATTTATTATGTACATATAATCTTGGACAGATATGCAAATGGATCTTGGGTTGGGCCCAGAATTAAGTAGGTGGAGGGGAGCAAGCTAGAATACCATTGGAAAATTGCAGTTTCTTTGATAACTCTAAACATCTTCCTTGAAATAAAGGCCTACCTTTTTCTATGCAAATGCTTTGTAGTGTTTAATAAATGCTTGTTGATTTTTTGAGCAATCTATGGCATATAACAAATAAGGAACTATGAAGGAGAGTAGGGGATAGTCAGTTTGTTAACTATCAAATAAGGAATTACAAAGGAAGATAAGGGATTGAGACTGGCTCTGTGATTTCATTGGAATGAGGAACTCCTGTGCGTGGAAACTCTCCTTGCTTGAGTAAAGGATGTGATCAGAGAAATTAGCAAAAAAATTAGGTGGTCATGAGTCAAGAGCTAGGCATAACCAATGAATAAGCTTAATGTTTCACCGGTTTATTCACAATATCTGGAAGAAGCAAGAAAGGGCCCTACCATGTTAAATGGACTCCATTCTGGTGAACATATAGGAAGAGATGGAAAAGAATCATACATGATGGGCAGATAGATAGTTGTGGCCTGCACCGTAGCAGGGAATACCCACATTACTGAGGTCACAAATCTAATTGATTATTTGAATATGATGGAAAAAATTCCCAACAATTAGTGCTGTTCAGAAATAGAATGGGCTACCTCAGGGGGCAATGAGTTCTTTATCACGGTAGAAGGTTGAATAGGAAAAGGTGATTGTTAGTCATTTCCTCTTCAGGTATGAGTGAACCAGATGATCTCTGACGTCCCTTCTAAGTCTGAGATTGTTGGTATTTTGACTGGATATTTCAGCAATATAGGGGATTGTTTTTCCCTAAATTCTTTGGATTGTCCTTTTTCCCTTTTCCCTTTAAGAGTTTCAGCTCTTCACTTAAAGGCACCATGACATAATAGAGTTCTTGTATTTAGAGGCAAAAAACAGGTTCAAATTATGACTTGGACACTTACTAGCTGTGTGGTCATGGGCAAGTCATTTAAACTCTCAGAGCCTCAATTTCTTCAGTGTATACATATGGGCATGAGTGCAGTTAGGTGTTTATCACCATATCTCTACTACCACCTCATGAGGCTGTTGTGAGGGAAATGCTTTATAAATGTAAAAGCATTAAATAAATCTAAGTTATTATGAATTTAAACACTGACCACTTCATTGCTATCTATTCTTTCCTATGAATAAGATCTATGAAATGACAGCCTGCAATGGTTAAACAACAGAAATAACAATGTGCTTTTGATTTGAATACACTGGGGTTTTATCAAGCAGACAAACTATATAGGGCTAGAAAAAAGTCATGCTCCTTAAAAAATGACGTGTTCCAAATGACCTTTGCTGGTTTTCTTACCATATAGTGTATTGTCCTC